CGGCAGAAGTTCGGGCGAACAGTTTTACACAGTCGGAACGATAAAACTTCTCGAAACGATCGTTTATTAATGGACTGCAGACATTACGCGTTTATGGCAAAAATTAGCGAAATTTACATCGTAAGCGTTTAAGAGACGGACACTAAAATAATTTTCAACTTATAAATTGATATTTGCAATGAATATAGAAAGCCTTTATTTTGCACAAATATTCTCGGTACAACAATGGAGCATTTCCTTCGGGAAAATATATGAGAAACATTTCGAAACGAAGGAAAGAATATTATAAAATTGTACTGCGGCTTGTACGCATTTACGGTAAAATTTCACAGAACAGTTTATTAGTTTAGAATTTAAAACAGCAGAAAGATTGAAAGAATTTCAAGATGCCGTATTATTTGTAATCCGATAAAATCGTTGATGAAAGAAAAGTGTAGCCAGCCAAGTGGGATCGAGCAGATATAAAAATGTTCTACGTCGAGAATTCTAACGAAGATACCGGCGTAAAGAAGTATAGATAATACCGTTTATCGCGAAGCACTGTAATTAGTCGTCGATTCGCGATTATAAAAATTGTTGCGTTGCCGTTTTTATCTTCCGCCGTGAATCAACCCGAAGCTTTTTGTTCCAGAACGGTGTCGGCGGAATAGTCCGGGATCTCGGCAGGAAAATATTTATTCCAGCTTCTTTCGAGCTGTTCCACGATTCATCGCGCGAGCATAGCTTATTATGAAAAAAGCATTTAGCACGCGGCTGCTATTTAAAAGCTGTATTAAAAGAGTTCCCTCCCCTCACCCCGAACCACGGACGTTTGATCAATGTTTACAATCGTGGAAAGACAAGAATCAAGCGGTGATTCGTTTTGTCTCGCGGAATTTTTTGCTTCCGATCAGCCGAACGAATGGAATCGCGTCGGACGGAAACGCGCGTTTTTCTTTCTTCTTTCAAACTCAACGCCGTTATAAAAAATATAACTCCGATTTTAAATAGATATTTAACTGATTTTTGATGTATATATTTAACTATTAACTTAATTACTTATTTACTTACTTAATTACTGAATTATTTACTTCATTACATACTTAATTACTTAATTGTTTACTTAATTACTTAAATATTTACTTAATAACACACTTAATTACTTAATTATTTACTTAATGCCTTGGTTACTTACTTAATTACTCAGTTATTTACTGAATTACTTCGTTGCGTACTTAATTACTTAATTATTGGATCACTTACTCAATTAATTAATTATTTTCTTATTTATTTGATGACTCACTTATTTATTTTATTACTTATTTAATTACTCAATTATTTACTTAATTGTTTACTTAATTACTTACTTAATTAGTTAATTATTTACCTAATTACTTACTTAATCACTCAATTACTTAATTACTTACTTAATTACTTATTTCATTACTCAATTACTTTAATTATGATTTAACTATTAACTGTTACAAATATATTCTACTAATATTTTACTATTTAACTACTATTAAACAGTTCTGCTCGAAAAAAATATGTGTTCGTTGTCTCGCGAAAAGAAAGCCCAAAAGGGACCTGAAAAAAATGCACTTCCAGATCAGATTACTCTCGGAATCTCGCGGAACTGTGTTCCCGTTAATTGGAACGTCCGGAGCGTGTTCGGCCGAGTGATACATTAATTCCGGGAAGTTTCTGTCGCGAGTATTGGTGGCGGCGCTATCGCGTGCGCGCGCTCGCGCACACACAACGAAAGAAAGTGAATCGGGTCGTTGCGTCTGGTCGGCCTCTCCGCATTTAGAATTTCGATTTCATTAGCAGATTGAACGTTTCGATCGTTCCGGCCGGGCTCGACTCGTCCGCCCGTTGTGTTTAATTAGCTGCCGCGGTGGAACGGGCTCCTGCAGATTTCACGGATTTTTGACTTATCGTTGCGTTTTTAGTGTCGGCGTGTCTCGTCGAGCTGTTGCAAAAGCTTACCATTCGAATGTTTACACGCGACCGCTGTTCGTTGCGAAATAATTGTTATCGCGTTGGATTCGAATATTTATTTTTCCCGCGATCCGCGTGACGCAAAGTGCATCGAAAAATGCAATCGACGTCGCACATACTTAACTCGCCGATTTTTAAATCGACTTCTTCGACGATACTGATTCGAAAGATCGAATATTTTCGTTTTTACTCGTATTTTATACGAGATATTTATATAATACATAATACATAATGTATAATACATAATATATAATATATAATATATAGTATATAATATATAATATATAATATATATATCATATATTTTATGAAATATTTTTCTTCCACTCTATAAAAACACTCCGAGGTTGAGAACCTCGAAAGAATATCGGATACGCGTTATTGATGTTATTGTGACAAGAGATAAATGTGTGTCGACGCGTTCGCTGGCAACGTCGCAAACGCGCGTCGATCGAAATTTCGTATTTCAATTTAGAATTTTTATTGATTCCACTTCGACGGCATTGTTATCGGAAATATTACCTTGTTATTTAACCCTTTGACATACCATTTTCTTCGCGGTGACTGCGATCAGAAATTTTTCGTTTGTAATAATTTCTTAGGAGGGAAAGAAAATTGTTTAAATATTGATGACAAGGGATTAGAATTTTATTTCAATTTATATTATTATATTTATATATTATTTATATTTTATTTATATTATTTTTTATAATATTATATATTTTAATTTATACTATTTTTTATATTATTTATATTTTACTTATATTATTTTGTATATTATTTGTATTCTATTTGTATTATTTTATTATATATCTTTTATTTATATTTTTATATTATTTATATTATATTAATATTATTATAAATTATTTAATAATATTATTCGAATTAGGGCATGGAATTAATACAAATAAAATGAAATAAAAGTAACTACGTAATCCAGCGACGTTGCTAGCGAGTACATTAATTGCAGTAACAAACGCAATGTCCGGTGGAAAATTTTGACATAAATTCGACGTAGAGAGAATTGAATGTTTATTCTTTTGCAACAACTTGATGTCCCTTTTACGTAGTTGTTCCCTCGGTGTTCACGATGTTTCTTACGAACAACGCTCCATAGATGGTTTTCTGCTACATGCACCCTAGTTCTAAACTACTGTTTCTCACGATCTAACATTACGCAACTCAAAACTCTGCTAGCGATGATAGACTGTACTGTCAACACACAGTAGAACCGGCAATAGTCTACGATTATACTCCGTCAAGCGTACCCGTAGTTCACGTAATCGATCGATGACATTGCAAGTCTCACAAATCCTCTTCCACTTGTGAACACTTCCTCGACTTTTCACCGACCCTATCAATCACCCGGAAGCTAAAAATACACACACACGTTGCACTTTAACCTCTCTACAGGGTGTCCAATAATGTCTCCAATAATGTCCAATAATGTCTCGGAATCTAGAAATAGGGGGATTCCTGAAGTCATTTGAAGCAACTTTTTCCTTTGCGAAAATCCGATCCGCGGCTTCGTTTACGAGTTATTAACGAAAAGCCGCGGGCCAATCGGAGAGCGAGCGTGGCTGGCGCTCCGCCCTCGTGGCCGGCGCTCCGCCCTCATGGCCGACGCCGCATCGCGCCGGTCGTCCGCTGCCCCGGGGCGGGGCGCCAGTCGTGCGCAACCGCTCATTGGCCAGTGTTTTTCGTTAATAACTCCTAAACGAAGCCTCGTAGAATATTTTCGCAAAGGAAAAAGTTGCTTCAAATCACCTCAGGAACTCCCCATTTCCGGATTATGGGACATCTTTGGGACACCCTGTATATTCGTCGTGCATTCACGGCCGAGTTATGGCGTACGTATATCCCATAGATCCTCGATCAACGCGAACCGTATCACACTTGATTACACAAAGAAATTTCGTTTACAGAGCGACGCATTCTCTCACCCTCCTAATTACACGAACAGAATTCGTTACAGAGTGATTCGCACCCTTACTCGATCGTTCGCAATTGAATCTGTCATGCTGTTCATTTCACTTTGCGTACAGTTTGCATAGAAACCTTGCTAGGTGTACTTTTGTTATTTCGCTTGTCACTGATTGTTGATCCTACGCCAAAAAAGTATCTGTTTGCTTGTGTAACTACCAGAGTTCGGCATTGTTCGAATTTTTTCGAATAAAAATTTCTCGAAAATAATTATGCGAATGCATTCTTCTTCAGTCGAATGTTTCATTCGAATCGCGATTATTCATTGTTTGTCGTAAATTATTCTATTTGTTCGATTAAATTATATTGTATTAAATTATATTAATCATATTAGTTATATTAAATTATATTAATTATATTATGTTATATCACAAATTATATTAATTATTCGAATGGGTCATATTGTATTAAATTATGTTGATACAAAATTATTCGAATTAATCATATTATATTAAATTATGTTGATAAAAAATTATTCGAATTAATCATATTGTATTAAATTATATTAACAAAGACATATATATTGTATTAAATTATATTAATAAAGACTTATTCGAATAATTTACGTTACATTAAATTATACTGATAAAAAAATTATTCGAATAAATTACATTACATTAAATTATGCTGATAAAAAATTATTCGAACAAATTACATTACATCAAATTATATCAACAAAGTAGTATCCAAATAAATTATTCGACTAATTCCTTGTTCGATTAAATTTTTATTCGATTCAATATTTGTTTAGATGGCGTCGAATAAAATTGCTTATAAAATTCGTTAGTTAAAAATTGCTCCAAACTCTGGTAATTACAACAAATATATCACTGCTGTTATCCTCTGTTCTCGTTCAGAAGTTCGTCTAACCAAATCTCTATATGTTTTCTCAACGTTTCCACGTTTTGTGTTTTGCATAGATGGCATCTGTTTCGCCGCAGCGGAAACGGACAGCTACAATTTGCAAATCGTTTGCTGATTTTCACACGATTCTCGTTTCTTGTCTAAAGAGAGAAGGTGCTTTTACACCGAACACTCGTAGCCTTATCATTTCAATTTTACGTATTTCCTTCGATCGTAAAATACGATCTTACGAACTCGAGGTCTCCAATGCCGTTCATTATTTGTTTATGCAAAATTTATTTCCGGATACCTCGAGTTCGCTCGACAAATTTGCACAATTGGTTGCCGTCTCGCCGAGCTTCTTTTCGTCCACTTTTGAATCACTCTGTATACATACGACGTCCTGTAATCGGTGGCTCGAACCGACGCATAGAACATGTTCGAAGCTCGTGTTTTCGAAGCATTGAATTTCTAAAGAGATTTCTTCTTCACTTGTTGAATCTGAGAGCAGCGGAAAGATCGACGGGATACGAACGGTATAAAATCGAGTTTACAATTTAAGAAGTCGAGCAAATCTTTCTCGGAGAACTACACTGTCTTCGCATTGCCGATGCGATCAGCAGACTGCGGATTTTATGCACTTGTGATAAAAATAAGTTGTTGAAAGATTAAATTGTGGAGATAGGAAAAGAATTTAATAATATTTTTATGCTGTTTTTAACTTATCGAAATTATTTCAAGGAACATTTTATTTATATTTAATTTCTGGCTTAGTTATTGTTTATGGAAATTATTCGAAGGAACATTTTATTTATATTTAATTTCTGTCTTAGTTATTGCTTATCGAAATTATTTCAAGGAACCTTTTATTTATATTTAATTTCTGTCTTAGTTATTGCTTATGGAAATTATCCGAAGGAACAATTTATTTATAATATTAATTCATTTACTTATTACAATTTACTTATTACATGTCGAAATTATTCGAAGGAACATTTTATTTACATTTAATTTCTGTCTTATTATTTATGGAAATTATCCGACAGAACAATTTATTTATATTTAATTTCTGTCTTACTTGTTATTTATAGAAATTATTCAGAGGAACATTTTATTTATAATTAATTTCTGTCTTAGTTATTGCTTATGGCAATTATCCGACGGAACAATTTATTTATATTTAATTTCTGACTATTCTTCGATCGTTCTAGCAAATTTTTATTTTGCCTAAAGATCCGCAGTCCAATGATCGCTATACGGTCACTATACGACAGCTTAACCCTCGAATAGCCGACGGCCGGGTCACTTTTGACCCACGGACTAAAATTCAAACTCGTTCGTTTACAAAACGGAGTGCACAAAAAAGAAAAGATGTAAAATTGTCCGAATGTATTTTTTAGTTCCGGGTCATCGTTGACCCGGCGTCAGGCAGCGCGAGTAATCGGTCGCAGGACGATCGTCGTGCGCAAAAAAAAGAACGAGCAATCGATGAATGATCACGCGTTAAAATAAAAAAAAAGCCGGCAAAGTGGAAAAAACCAATGCGAAGAACGAGCATAAAATTCATTGTCTCATCTATATGTGTGTGTATCATGGCAGCTCTGTCCTCGCGGTCTCGTCGTCCCGTTGCTCGGCCGGACAATCGCGAAACCCGGCCGTACGATCCAGCCGGCTGCGGTGTGAGAGAACGGCGGTCGATCGAGGATCCGAGGGAGGGGAGGATCGGACGCCGCAGGATCCCCGCGGACGTCCACGCGTGTACCTCGGACGGCACGCGCAACCCGATGGGAATCACGAGCATGCGGCATCCGCCGATCGGTGCTCCTTAGGGTTCATTAATCCCTCCCCCGACACCCCCTAATCATCACGACGAAATCATGCTGCCGGCATGCGGCAGACTGGCGCACTTCAAGAAGAGATTAAAGGCCCGCGAGCTGCAGCATCGAAAAACGATCTGCATCGTGCAAGGCGGATAAGATGAGCAAGAGCGTCGAGCTACTCGCTGGGTCGGAGGACAGTGAACAGATAGCAGCCGGTGAGTCTCCGTGCAAATTAACGCTGGGCCTGCCGACTCGTTGAGGCGACCGATGATTTTTTCGCTGGTTCTTTCTTTTTTGGGAACGCGTGCTCGCGAAATTTGTTGAATCGTTTCCAATGAAAGTCTTTATGACTTCAACGAACTGGAAATAAAATAGTCTTTGTGGTTTTGACAATTTGCGAATAAAAGAGTCTTTTTGATTTCGAAAATTTGGAAATAAAGTCTTTGTGGTTTTAACAGTTTGCAAATAAAAGAGTCTTTATTATTTCAATAACTTGCAAATTAAAGAGTCTTTATTATTTCAACAACTTGCAAATTAAAGAGTCTTTATAATTTCAACAATTTGCAAATAAAAAGTCTTTATAATTTCTACAACTTGAAAATTAAAAAGTCTTTATAATTTCAACAACTTAAAAAAGAGTTTTTATAATTTAGACAATGGTCAAATAAAAGAGTTTTTATCATTTAGACAATGGTCAAATAAAAGAGTCTTTGTAATTTCAACACAATTCCCCATTAAAAGAGTCTCTGTAATTTCGACAAAAACCAAATGAAAGAGATTTCGTAATTTCCACAATTTCCCAATAAAAGAGTCTCTGTAATTTCGACAATGGCCAAATAAAAGAGTCTTCGTAATTTCGACAAGTTTCAAATAAAAGTTGTGAAACCGGCCAATTTGACCGTCTTGGTAGGCGCAGCGTTAATGGACTGCGGATTTTATGCATTTATCACGAAAACGACGAGTAGACAAAACACACTACACTGACACCGATGCAACAATTTTTAAGAACTCGATTATAAAGTCTGTCGATTTTTGAGTTATTACTCATAAATATTAGCGACATTCGAATTTTTAATACTTAGAGTGCCGTACATTTTTTGACATTTGACAAGTAGAAATATATTGCGGTGCACGAAAATGAAGAGATACTCGATTGAACAATGCTTATTTATTATTAAAAATTATTCAAGTTAGGGAACGACGTTATTCGACGACGTTCGGTCTGAAGAAAACATTTATTTATATGTTTATTTATTTATATGTTTAATTGCTTATTCGTTTATTTACTTGTTTACTTATTTACTCATTTACTTATTTATTTATTTATTTATTCATCTACTCATTTACTCATTTACTCATTTACTTATCGACTCTTATTTACTCATTTGTTCATTTACTCATTTACTCATTTACTTATTTACTCTTATCGACTTATTTACTTATTTACTCATTTACTCATTTACTCTCTTATCGACTTATTTACTTATTTACTCATTTACTCATTTACTCATTTACTTATCGACTCTTATTTACTCATTTGTTCATTTACTCATTTACTCATTTACTTATTTACTCTTATCGACTTATTTACTTATTTACTCATTTACTCATTTACTCTCTTATCGACTTATTTACTTATTTACTCATTTACTCATTTACTCATTTACTTATCGACTTATTTACTTATTTACTCATTTATTTATTTATTCATTTACTCATTTACTCATTTACTTATCGATTTATTTATTCATTTACTCATTTACTCATTTACTTATTTACTTATCGACTCTCTTATTTACTTATTTACTCATTTACTCATTTACTCATTTACTTATTTACTCATTTACTTATTTACTCATTTACTCATTTACTTATCGACTCTTATTTACTTATTTGCTTATTTACTCTCATTTACTTATTTATTTATTTACTCATTTACTCATTTGCTCATTTGCTCATTTGCTCATTTACTTATTTACTTATTTTGCCGACGTTTTTCATAAATTGATCGCAACGCGTCGTTTCTCATGATTCCCATACGTATCCCATCGTTCGTATTGCTCGAGGAGCTAGTCATCGGCTAATGGACCACGTGTCCTCTCGTGTAAACTCGCTTTATCGAGCAGAAAACACGGTTAACTATGCTCTTACTTATTCTTCCATTTCCCTTTTCTCCACTCCTTTTCTTTTCATTGTTACGTCTCCTTCCACTTCCAACATCCGCATCCCCCACCAGCATACCATTTCCTATTATTATTATTATTATGAATTAGTGCACAGTTTTTTTGCAAAGTTTTAATTTCCCATGGGAGAGTTTGAGCGCGAAGATTTAAGTGGCACAGCGGAAGTTCCGAAAGTTATGGAACTTCGAAGCTTCTGAAGAAAAGTTCCGAAGTTAAACATTCAGAGGAACGGATAGCTTCGGAAGTCTTGGAAGGAAGCTTCGGGAGCCCAAACAATTTTGGAAATCTTTGATATTTGGGGTTATGGGACCTGCGAAAATCTTACGAATTCGAAAAAATTTGAAAAATCTTTGAAGGTTTTCAGATTGTTGAGAACTTTGCAAGCTGCTTATCTGTTTCCATGTTTGTGCAAATTTGGAAATTTTTGAAGCTTCTCATGTATTTCCATGTCTATGGAGATTTTGAAAGGTTTGGGAACGTTGTGGTTATGGAAATTCTGAAAATATTTAAAGCTTTGTCGATATGGAAATTCTGATATTTAATATTGAATATTTAAAGCTTTTCAGATATGTTAATTCTGAAAATATTTAAATCTTTGTAGATATATGGAAATTCTGAAAATATTGAAAGCTTTGTAGATATGGAAATTCTGAAAATATTGAAAACTTTGTAGATATGGAAATTCTGATAATATTTAAAGCTTCGTAGATGTGGAAATTCTGGTATTTCATATTTAATATATAAAGCTTTGTCGATATGGAAATTCTGATATTTAATATTTAAAGTTTTTCAGATATGTTAATTCTGAAAATATTTAAAGCTTTGTAGATATGGAAATTCTGAAAATATTGAAAACTTTGTAGATATGGAAATTCTGAAAATATTTAAAGCTTCGTCGATATGGAAATTCTGATATTTAATATCGAATATTTAAAACTTATTGAATATTTAAAGCTTCGTAGACATGGAAATTCTGAAAACATTCAACGCTTCATAAATACGAAAATCCACAAAGTATTTAGCGACTCATAGACCCCGAAAATACTTACAAAAGCTCCAAAAATTCCCAAAACCCGAAGCATTCTAAATTCTCGCAAATATCGCAAGCTCCAAGGAGCCCCGTAAAATTCCCAAAATCCTCGAGAACTTTGCGCATACGCAATGAATCCCGAATATTAAAAAGATTTTCATAAATTCGCGGAAACTTCCGAGATTCTCGTTGATCCGAAACTTCAGAGAACCTAAGCTATCACGAAACTTCCGACACTCTTTACAAGCCCGGTAGTTCCGAAAGTCTCGAAAGCGTCGAGACGACGTCGACGGACGTCGTTACGATACGATGCCGCTCTCTAAACGGCAAGCCGAATCGATCATCCGCGTCGTGATCGTCGAATAAACGGCTCGGGGCGAACTCCCAAGGCGTTCGCAGAAGACCGGCGAACAACAATCGATCGAATTAATTTCCCCGCGGACCCCAAAACCGCAAGGTTCAACCTCCGAATATTAGCCATGGAATTCGGTCGGCGCGGCTGATAACGATTATTAATTCATCTTGCTATCCGCTCTGTCCGCGCGGTCGAAGGGCGCTCGTTCGCGACCATCATCCCTCAATGCCGTGCCACGTGTTCCGTAAAGTGTCAGATAATATTCAGAAGCCGACGACGCGGTCAATGAAGCTTAACGAGCCTGTATTGACTGTGATTGGTGTTAAATCTGGCTTCGCGCGACGATTACGTAAACGTCGAAACGGGTTTACTATCGTGCGCACGTTGTCTCGAATCCGGGGAGCGCATGTTCCCGAATTGCTGAATTAACGTAGCCGCGTAATCGCGGCCCACGTTTCTTCCGTAACAATCTCGATTCGTCGCGTCGACATGTCTCGTGATTGGACGATTTATTCGCTTCGCGGCTCAGCGACGGGGAATAATCGATTTTTAAAAAAATAGTAATAATAATAGTGATACAGTAAATTCTCTCTAATTGACGCTCTGATTGTAAATAAAAATGGACCACAAGGGACCTGTAAAAATAATAATAATAATATAATAAAATATATAATAAATTAATAATAAAATAATAATGAAATAAAATAACAATAATAGCATAACAATAAAAATAAAATAATTATAAAAATGAAATAGTAACAATAATAATGTAATAATAAAAATAAAATAATAACAATAATAAAATAATAATAATAAAGATAAGATAGTAATAATAATAAAATAATGATAATAATAAAGATAAGATAATAATAATAATAAAATAATAATAATAATAATAAATGGCAGCTAGATGACACCACTTAACCTATCGCCGAAAAATAATCTAAATATCAATTAGAAAACGAATAGCTGGGGCGTCGAAAACACCCCACGCGACCGTTCCGTTAAAATCGCATGCCTCGAACAGTTAATCCCGATCTTTCGATTCGATCGTCGGAACGGTTTTAATCTCGATCCTCGCCGACCGCGCTCGTCTCTCCGCTCCGATCTTCAAACTCAGCATGAATTCAACCTGATTGAGCGTGTTCCGTCTCCCTCCAATTTACACGTGCCGTGTGTCGGCGGCTACGGATCCGTCGCAGTTACCGCGGCCACGGAAAATGTTCCCGTCTCATTACGGGGAATCGTCGGAACGAGCAATTCAATCGCGATCGAATTGAAAGCGGCGCGGCGCGGACACTGGCGTCGGATCGTACGTAATTCGTGTTCGTAGCACCGTCGCTGAGATTAACCCCATTGCCGCGACATTTTTATCGCGGATACCCGATGAATTTAACGATCTCTTCAGTTGGAACAATTTCTTGGACCGAAAAGAAATTTTGCGTTTGCCGCGCGTCCGTGTAAATAATGTGTCGCGATAGGCAGTTTTAATTGTATGCGACGTACACGTCTCTCCAATCGATGGTCAAATTGTGCGCTAAAATGGACAATTTGAGAAGAGCAGGATGCTCTTCTTATTCGAGCCTTGCGGCTCGTTTTTATACGAGGCGATTCCCGAGGTCATTTGAAGCAACTTTTTCGTTAGCG